CGATTTTCCCAATTTCATCAGGATTTGGGGTCAGTCAGGATTTTCCCGATTTTATCAGGATTTAAGGAAAAATTGGTCGTGAAATCAAGATTTGAAAAATCCCATCTTTCTCACCAATTAGACACCCTAAAATAATGCAGGGTGTCTAGCATCAGGATTTTCCCGATTTCATCAGAATGGGCCTGTTGCAAACTTTTGCTAGAGCAAAAATAAGAGTTGTTTCCTGTAGATAATGCCTCAAAAATTACGATGAGCGCATCGGCAAAGTCTGAAATGCAATCATAACTTCACAATCTGCGTAAGAAATTTGCGTTTTTTGAGCTTCCCGCTTCAAAAACGATACTACGGCACAGGTGATCATTTTGTTAGAAGAGTCGCTCCATCGTCGGCAATATTCCTCATGGCCGACGCTTGCGCAGTTCCTCGCGTAATTCGAGGAGAGTTCAAGGTCAATCAAGGCGGGTGAGGAAAATATAAACGTAAACACGCCGATTGTTATCTGGTCTAATCCTGTTCAGGTGTTATCTCGTCCCATCACAGGTATTTTGGCGGATTGTCGTCGGCCATGATGGGTATTGCCGACGATGGAACGACTCCTCTAACAAAATGTTCACCTGTGCCGTAGTATCGTTTTTGAAGCGGGAAGCTCAAAAAACCGCAAATTTCCTACGCAGATTGTGAAGTTATGAATGCATTTCAGACTTTGCCAATGCGCTCATCGTGATTTTTGAGGCAATATCTATAAGAAACAACTCTTATTTTTGCTCTAGCAAAAGTTTGCAACAGGCCCATTTGAGGAAAAATCGGTCGTAAAATCAGGATTTGAGGAAAAATCGGTCTTGAAATCAGGATTTGAGAAATCCCATCTTTCTCACCAATGAGACACCCTAAAATAATACAGGGTGTCTAGCATCAGGATTTTCCCGATTCTATCAGGATTTGGGGTCAATCAGGATTTAATCCCGATTTCATCAGGATTTGAGGACAAATCGGTCGTGAAATCAGGATTTGAGAAACCCCATCTTTCTCATCAATTAGACACCCTAAAATAAAACAAGGTGTCTAGCATCAGGATTTTCTCGATTCTATCAGGATTTGCGGTCAATCAGGATTTAATCCCAATTTCATCAGGATTTGAGGAAAATCGGTCGTAAAATCAGGATTTGAAAAAATTCGACTGTCCGATCAGATTTTCTTATGCTTTCGCGTACGCTTGTGCAGAAATTTCAATTTTTCTCCGCAAAAAATCGGCTCGCAAGTGTCTGAAATGGGTGGATCCAATGGACTAGGGAGAGAATGATGGACTAACTATCGGGTCCCTGGTGCGTTGCCGTTCCTTAGTATATCACCTACCTCCTTTGTCCATTGCAACCACCCGCCTCCACCAATGAGATCCCTCCATATTTCTTTTGTCTTCTTTGTCTATACCTTTGTCTATCAATTTCTATAATCGGCCCGCTGCTTTGGCCATCAATCCTATCAGGAAAATATGAGCTCTGACCTCCCTAAAAATATTTCCCTTAAGCATGGCAGTGCGCTTGTTGATCGTCGTTGAATGCCCCGCTGCCATCGGTGTGGCGTGCTCTGCGATTTATCGATTGATCTACCATTCAAACCTATGGAAAAGGATCGATAGTCAGGATGTTCGCAACGAACACCCGAATAATCGATTCTTTACCACTGCTTCAAATGGAGGAAAATCGATAATCGATCATTCACTCGCCAATGCTCGCCGCGCAGGAGTGAGTTCGGGATGCCAAACCGCGATCTAAATCCAAGCGACGCAAATTTGAGCCCCCCCCCCCTTTCACCGGACACAAGTCACTCACAGCCACAATCAGCACAGGGCGCCGGGAACAAACTCCCTGGCCACGGACAATCAGCTGATTGTAGCGCCAGTGGTCGTTCATGGTCAGCTCATTGTTGGCGATCTGTTTGCTCAGGCGCGAGAGCTCCTAACGCGTGAAATTACTCCCAACGCATTCCAGTGCTCTCAACAACCACCCCCCCCCCTCTCTTTGCCTCTCCGCCTCTCCTTCGTATTTGGCCGTCAAAACGTCTACGTAAAGACGTCTTACTTGCTACGCACAGTGGCTTACTCTTCGGGAGGCATATTTGAACGGGAAGAAGTGGTGAGGAAGTGAAGCCACATTTTGTGAGGGAGGGGGGAATGACGCTGAGTCATGAGTGATCTTTTCTTGTCAAAGATCCAAAATCCAAGAAAAAATATCTTGGATATGCAAGGTCCTTCATTATGTGAATGCGCAATTTCAGCCACTTGGAAGTCGAAATAGTTTTATCACTCGTTTCATCCCATCAAACGTTTCTACTCCTGCGTTAAAGTCTCTGAAGTCAGCCAAAAAGAGATTCTTCTTCATTTTGTCGATACGCAATTTTACACACTTGGAAGTCAAAATAGTTGTATCACTCGTTTCATCCCATCAAACGTTTCTACTCCTGCGTTAAAGTCTCTGAAGTCAGCCAAAAAGAGATTCTCCTTCATTTTGTGGATACGCAATTTTACCCACTTGGAAGTCGAAATAGTTGTATCACACGTTTCGCCCCCATCCAACTTGTCTACTCCTGCGTTAAAATCTCTGGATCAGCGGAAAAGAGGTCAAGCTCTTATTCTCTGTTCGAGATATGCGAGGGAGTGTTGTTGGTTTCTTAATCGTGACCGGATCCATGAGAAGGAACCTGCTCACCTGCCGGAAGAAAATTTCCGAGACATTGAACTTTGCACCAAAATTATCTCGCGTACACCAAGGCGCCTGCAAAACTAGAAGGATACTTCAAGCACCACGTCGCGTCGTCTCTTCGGCTCTTGATTCGTGATTCACGAGAGAACCTAACTCCCTCCTGCGCGGCGAGTAGTGGCGAGGCGTGAATGATCGTTTATCGATTTTTCTCCATTCGAAGCTGTGGTAAAGAATCGATTATTAAGGTGTTCGTTGCAAACACCCTCAGAGTCCGGAACGGACGGTATGTCTATATAGGCCGGTTTTTTTTAAGCGTAGGTATAAAAACACGCTGACGCTGAGTCGGGGTATTGACCGAGGGCAAGAGTTATTGACCTCAACTTTCGATTTCGATCGACACAGCCGCGGAAGCGTTAACGAAACGACAACTTGTTACGGCACAGTCGAGCGACCCGCACCTCTTGCACGGTCAAGGTCATAAAACCGGGATCCAGCGCTACGGTTTTCTGGTCCTCCACTGACATCACGATCTTTTAATATCTCACCAGGGTGACATCACTACGAGGCCTCCTCAGAAGTCTTTTTGGCGTAAGAGAGTACAGTAGAGTCTCGATTATCCGCGAGAATTGGGACCGGAGAAACCGCGGATAATCGAAAATCGCGGATAATTGAAAATCGTGGATAATTGAAAACCGCGGATAATCGAAAATCGCGGATAATCGAAACTCGCGGATAATCCGAATCTACGCAAGACGGCCGGAAAAAATCATCGGAAAGACTTTATTTTAAAGGAATCAGTAAAGACTTTTGCCATGCATTAGAAAAGAATATAGTTTCTAACTAAGAATCAATAAACGTTACCTGTTAAACAAATTTTTATACGACCCTTTTCCATCTTCGTTTCTAACACTCAGGTAACAATGGAGGCCTGCGCGTGCCCGTACAAATGGAAATATGGTTTTTCCGAAGAGGAGAGGAATGACCCCGAATTTCTCCGTTCGGTCCCGGTCGCTTTCAAAAGAAATAGAAAAAGTAACAAAAAAGTCCGCTCCACAGACCGCGGATGACCGAGGCAAGGATAATCGAGACTTTATACTGTATCTCTATTTCCTAAGATGGACTGCATTTTGCAATTTGGAACTATAAATTCTGGCTCATCTGAGAAAACTTTTATGTGCATGGGGAAACTAATGGCACATACGTTGTTTTTATACCGGGCCAGAATTTTTAGTTCCAAATTGCAAAATGCAGTCCAAATGGAAATGAAATCGGCCCTACTGTACGGCTTAGCGCCGATCAGTCTGTCATTGCGTTATGTTGCACATTCGGACGGAGCGGTGCTGAGTTATATCGGGCACTAACCTATCCTACCCACCAGATACGTTATGTTTGCGGATCAAGGTCAATAACTTTATCCTTGGTTTTATCCCTCGAAAGGAGATTTGTGCCACTTTTCAACGGTGCTTTTCCGTCTGTTTCCCCCTCTCCGTTTAAGATAAGCTTTAAATACAGCCTGAGCTGACGATTTACGACTTTAACCAGCTTTAGTGGCCGACGGTGCACCATCTGCGTCGATAAGTCACTGCGCATATTTGGTACACGATATGTTGATGGTGCAACTAGAAATACGAGTAGCATGGATAGCGATGTTTCAAAATGCTTGCTCCATCTTTTCAAGCTTTCTGTCTTCTCTATTATTCATTTTCATTTTACTCATGCTAGAGAATGGTGGTTTGAAGTACCAACTAGTGATACTGATACTGATATCGAAACTGCACTCGAATGCGGTATTTTCTCTCCAAAAAACCACGCCTTTATTACGTTGAGTTTCTTTGTCAAAATTGGTAAGTGAGTGCTTTAGTCTCCTGACAACAGAATTGCAATCTCAAAATTGGAAAAAAATGACGAGTAGCTGAAATAATGGAACCAATTGATGCGATATATCGCATGCCGTTCTAACACGAAATATGGCGTCCATCGAATCACCTTAAGAATTTAGCGTTTGGCAGGAAATTTTTCTTTGAAACATCGTTTCGTTACTCAATTAAAATTATTTACTCATTAACCGCCAACGGGCGATCTCGACAATTTCACTGGCCGCGAAGCAGTCTTTGAGGGCGCGCAGTGCCGTGGGGGTTGGGCCGCGTGGCGCCGTGGCGGCCAGAGGTGGGCCCCCTAGTCATTGATATTTCTCTTTCTTTTTTTTCAAAAAAAGAAACGGCACTTATGTACTTTTTGCTGCGATAAGACCCTCATTTTTGGAGCGGGTTTTGATTGGACTTTCGGAATTTTGTGTTGCAGAGATATCGTACGAGCTGGAGATCCCGGTGGAGAACGGAAGCTTGCCGCTGCAGGTGTTCGTGGGCTACTCGAGCAATCCGTGGGGCTCCTCCATGATGATCCACTCGACGGAGCCGGACCAGGACTCGGACCCGGACTCGGATCCTGACCAGCAACACTTCCACGAGGGCAGAGCTCACGAAGGCTCCTCCGCCCCCGTCGCCACCACACCAAGGTAAATTAGCGTAGATATATTTATAGAGCTATTACACCGAAAAATAGGATGCTGATATAACATACTAGATGTAAAAAAGTGTAGGACAACTCTCAAAACGCTGAATTAATCACCACAGCAGTTAGTTTTACAACTTGACAATGCTAAAGTAACTACTGTACTGCCGTGCTAAGGAGAAACATCGTATGAACCTTCAGGCGTTGCCAAATATCCTTTGATAAAACACGAATTCCCTGGTAAACATATGAGCATTTTTCTTCCAATTTACATATCGACGGTGCAAGTCGGCAATCACATAACTCGGTTTGCGACGTCGCAGACTTCCTGTCATACTTTATTTTTTAAACGGAAAACTATTCAACGGCAATTCTTTAAAACTGCCATGATTTTTCTTCATTGTGCGAAGAAAATTCTGCAAAAACTTATAGGAATGATGTCAATTAGTTCTCCTTTAAAAAAATGACAACGAGGCGGAGATTTTCAGACACCGCAAACGAGTTATGTGATTGCCGACTTGCACCGTCGATATAATTTTGTTTGCAATTTCATCTAAAGTTCCTGAAAATTTCAAGGAAAATTATCCATACTTTCCTCAAAAATGAACATTTTATTGAAGGAAATTTCGCAACTCTCGAATGTTCATACGCGCGGCGTTCTTCCTTAGCGCGGCAGTATGGTGGTTAATTCATCGTTTTGTGAGGTGTCGCACACTTTTTCACATTTAGGATGTTAAATCAACATCCTTTTTTTTCGTTGTGCGTGAAGCAGAATGATATCACTGGTTTGCTCTGAAACGAACTCCCAAGCATAAAAACAGGGTTGTCAGTCAGGGAATACCGGGAACCGTCATATATGACATCACTAAAAAAGAATATGTAACTACATATGTATGTGATTGAGTAATACACTGTAGAGTTTAAACTCTTCAACGGTCCATAGTATGCGGGGCTGCGCCTCTCATATATTCAATAAACTACGGCAAGTTAAAAACTCCTTCAAAATAAAAGCATGCAGCATGTGATACACTTAATGTTTCGTGCGATTGGAAATTCAGTATTTGGATCCCTGATTTTCCCAGAAAATCCCGTCTTCTTCGGGCAGAAACAAACATTTCTTAAGTTTTCAGAATATACAATGATGCACCGTAGGAGTCCAGTCCCATTTTCTCTGCTGCTAAATATGAACCTAATACTTTCTAATACATGTAGATTATTTGTGAGTGAAAAAGGATGGACAGTGTTAGGAACTTTTAATAAATTGACCAGCAAGTGTTCAGAAGTTAAGTTTTGAGAAAACACTACAATTTATCCTGCAGGACTTTGGCAATTTAAAAATAATAATATGGAAATTGGACTAATTTTCATTTCAATAGCTTAAACAAGGATTAGGCATCATGTTAAAGATATTATGTTAAAAAAAGCATTAGAAATCCATGTTTTTGTCCTTAATTCTGACAGGTAGGTGTCCTAATAATTCAAATAAATGATTACTTTACCTTTAATTTTAAAAGAAATACCTAATACGTCATTTTCTCATACCCACGCCATCGTCAACAGCTGCATAAAATAGTGCCCAAGCTACCCACTGCTCCGTTTAAATTTGATTATCAATGACTTCTAGCTGAAATGCGCGCTGTCATGGTCTAATGTGCGACACACATGAGTAAAAGATATTTTACACGATGCGTATTCCAACTGTGGTTTTTGAACCTCCATCACTGGCAAATAATTGAACTCCAATTTAATTATCTGATGCGGTTGATCGTTTCCACCATGCGGTGTCACGGACAGGTCACATCAGGGCATCTCTCGAAGTGACAATTGGACGTATTTATGCTTAAAGGAACTATGTGCATGGGGTTTTCGTGTGACATAGTTCCTTTTAGCATAAATACGTCCAATTTTATGACTAAATAGTTGCAAAACACACGCTCGGATGCTCAAGGACTTGCCTCACGAATCGCGATTATCTTTTTGTTCGACGTTTCAGCAATTGGATCAATCATTGTAGCGTGTAACAATGATGAAACGATGAAAATGCAGTCCTTGATGGCGGTGTTTCAAAATGTCCACACGCCTGGGTAAAAGTTAGTTATAGTTAATTTATTTATAGACATTCAGCATCTCAGGCTAAAAACTACGATGGTTGAGAGGGTATCCGTATATGTAAAACAAACAATAAACATCGAGTATTGAGAATATAAAAAATCCGAGAAAATTTTTAACTTTTAAATTAGGATAAATGAGGGGCTTGGAGGTCAAGGCGCATAAGTGCAGTTTTTGCTATTTTTGAGAAATGCGTGTATAAAATCTCGAAATTTCATGAATCCTTATAGCGGAAAGAAAGTTCAAACTGACTTTTTGATGCTTAAAAATTGGAATTTGGGAGGAAATTCGTCACAGAATACACATTAAGGCTAGTTTAAATTGTATTCATTATATTTCAATTTTTCCAAGACTGCACTTACGTGCCTTGTCCTCCAGTCCCTCAAATAAACGTTTTATCAAAAGACCCCAATAGTCTCGAAGAAATATTAGATCCAAACCTATGGAGAAAAATTATAATTGAAATAAATTAATAAAGTAATTAAAAATAAAAAATAAAATTAATTATTTATTTATTTTAATATTTTATTACTGTATTATTCGGTGTGAACTCATAAATGTCGGATTTTTTAAAAATGATCTTTCGTGCAATGTTACCTTTAACTTCTCATGCATTCATCATAATCTTTTTTAAGCGTGCCAGTAGGGCTCGCTTTTTGAAATCACTCGGATGTACCATAGTACAGCACACCGATCAACCAATGCTATTCAACGGGCCGTCCAAATATTTTTTTCCTCGGACCCGTTTTCTTGTCTTTGAACCATTATACTGTCAAGCCCTGATGGTCTCTTACCAAAAAACCGAATGAACTGCTAATTGGGAACCCTTGAGAACATTTTCCTGTCAAAACCGTATTATTTCATTTGACAAAAACCTCATAGAAGCTTTCTTACGCTCGGAGGACTCAACTCTAGAACCTTCTTTCCCGCCAAAACTGTTTAGCCAATGAGCGTCTTGCACTGCAAGTGCAATCTGTGATGAGCCTCGTGACTCTTTATACCATGTACTAACCGTGGCCCCTGCAGAAATCCACTCAAACCACTGCAGTTATCTCCCGATATAGCTTTGGGTGTCAGGTTTCGAGCAAGGCAATAAAAGACGGCGAGGAGAGGGTCGCCTTGTCGAACCTATTATCTTCCACGCCCGATTAACCATTCACCGTGACGCCAGGATCCACCAAATTTTCACAAAAATTGTTTTCCGCCTATTTAGCGAGTTTTTCCTTACTTTCCGTTAAAGTACAAATAAAAAGAGACCTCATTTGTAAAAATCGGCCGAATAGGAGAGAAGTTACAGTTCGAAATCCAAAGAGATTAACTCAACGCGATTTCGATGCACGGCAGTTCGCCCAAATCACGGTCGTGCGAAATGCCGCATATCAGCTTAAAATCAAGATAATTGGACGGAATCTTTAAAATCAATTTACATTCAACGTTCATGAATCAATATTTTCTCCCAAATTTAGCAAAAAGTACCAATTGATATAAATAACAAAGACGTGAAAATAGTAGGTATGTGTCCAACATTTTAGTTATTCGGCACGCTTTTCCAACATGTTCATGTTGGATTTTTCTGCTTGTTTTTTTTTAACAATGCCATTAGCAATCAGAGATTTTGGCAATTGACTTGTTCCCCGAATAATTGTAGCTCCTGACATCGCTGAACTTCGTAATGATTCTCGAGAACAATTTCTTTTGAGAAAATCTGCTTAGTTTTCAACGTATTCTCATGGACAAATTTACTGCTCATAATCCAAAATTGCAATCGCATGCTATACTTATTCATCAATAATATATTTTCGTATGCTTTTTTCAGGCCAAAAAGGAGCGCTCTACAGCTGTACAATATGGTGCTGTGCGCCACTAACTGCAACCCATTGACATACAAGGGGTACGGGTGTTACTGTGGATTTCTAGGTTCCGGGTACCCTGTTGATCCAATTGACAGGTGAGTAGTATGAATATATGCGGAATACACTCTGTGAGTTGTTAAAAAGATACGCATTTCCTCAAAAAAGTGAAAAAATGAATGCTATTTATTCCCCATTCCCATTTGCTTCTTATTAAAAAGTGGTCAAAACGGCTTGCTCATGTCACAGGAAAGTAACAGCCGGCAATCCGTAAACAGTTTACGTGTCGTTTCAATAAATCGCAATAATGCGCATCGGCATAATGAAGATGCAAAGCCTTCAAAGCCATGATCTCGGTTCGAAGCGCCTTCAGTTTTTGTGATACTCTACGCTTCGTCACGGAGTTAATTTAGTTGCCTGTTCGATCAAAGCCCAAGTAAGGTCATGGTTCTTATTGCACGCTCTCCCGTTTGTGCGTGTCACTACCGCGTGTTAACGGAAGAAAAAGACTATTTAAATTACAAGCAAAATAACCAGTATTCTAATCTTGTTACTTTATTTCTGAATTTCATGCCTTTCTTTTCACTGGTGATTTGCAAGTAGCCAGCGATTGCTGATTTCCTGTGACACGGACATTTTTCATTAGGAGAGAAAAAAATTTGAACGTCCACCGCACTCCACCGCTCTTGTTTTGAGATTATTTTATCTTTATCGAAAGCAATGGTGTCCTCACATCATTAACGAGGGGGAGAAATTGTGCTTCAAATAAAAACTATAATATGCATTATATAAAATCCTCACTTCGATTATATGCTCGAATAAAAATATTATGTTTTCGTAGATTTTTACAAATCAGAAAAATCAATTTGGGACCTTTCGTAAATACGTACCTAAAGCTGTAAAATTAGAATTTTTTTAAACCCCCCGCCCATAATCGTAACGCTTTTGCGACGTTGGTCACTGTCCTTTAACACGTAAAAACAAAATGGTGTCACGCTCTCCTCCACCCGTCCGTTCCTAAATCGTTACGCATTAGATTTGATGAACAGCCCCTTTGCATGGTCAAACTTGGTATGAAAAATGCGTTGTTGATGGAAATATTCAAAAACAGGACTGCTCTTGCACAGAAGCACGTTAAATCAGTAGAGTCGTAAAAATCAATATCAGTTTGAAAGAGGCAGCAAACGATCTGTCTAAGCTTCACCAGAATTTCCCCCCACCCTACCAAAAAGTCTATCTACATCTAGGAAGACGGGGCATTTAAACCCCCCCTCGTCCCCTAATAGCCACACTCCTTTTTATTTTATACAAAGTACCGTTTTCAGGGATTAACGTGATAGCAAGGGCTGTCGAGAAACATAACCATGGAAACAAATCGACATGCAGGTCGCAAAATTAAACGAGTGATCAATTTTTCTTATCCTATAAAATTCTAGTGATGTTGAGGGTCTTTTGACAAAGTATTAAAGACGTACACGAGTGTACCCCACTAAAAATCGGAGATGACCCTTAAAATGATAACCGCCGTCTCATAGAATGAGTCTTTGTGACCAATACTGGTTATTCAACCCATGATTGACACTTAGAATGGAATTTTCACGCAAATCTTGGAAAACTACCGAATTCGTAGCTATGGTAACACGGAGCATCTTTTCGTCTATGATCCGCTGAGGTCCGGCGTAAATCGGAACTCTTTCCGATGGCTACCCATTCGGATGACGAAACCGATCCGTTGCGAAGACAACCATCTCAACAGCCAACCCAAGCTTCTTCGGCCTCCTCCAATGGCGCCAATTCGACTCAAGAAGCCTCATTTAAAGTGCCACTCATCCCCGCTACGTCCCTTTTGGGTCGCAATGCCAATGATCGTCCGATCCTGCGGTCCTCAGTTCAAGGGCTCACAAACCTTATGGCATCCCCGCCAAGTCGTAGCACCGACGACCATTCAATCCTGCAAACTCCTGTTGAAGTGCCACCAATCCCATTAACGTCCCTTTTGGGTCACAGTGCCAATGCTTGTCCGATTCTGCCATCCTCAGTTCAAGGGCCAACAAACCCTATGACATCCCCGCCAGGTCGTAGCACCGACGACCATTCAATCCTGCAAACCTCTGTTGAAGTGCCACTTATCCCCGCTACGTCCCTTTTGGGTCGCAGTGCCAATGATCGTCCGATCCTGCGGTCCTCAGTTCAAGGGCAAACAAACCCTATAACATCCCTGCCAGATCGTAGCGCCGACGACAATTCAATCCTGCAAACCCCTGTTAATGTGCCACCAATCCCCTCGACGTCCCTTTTAGGTCGCAATGCCAGTGATCGTCCAATTCTGCCATCCTCAGTTCAAGGGCCAACTAACCCTATGACATCCCCGCCAGGTCGTAGCACCGACGACCATTCAATCCCGCAAACCTCTGTTGAAGTGCCACCAATCCCTCGGACTTCCCATCTGGGTCGCAGAACCGACAAAATATCGACCCTACAAACTCCAGCTGAAGTGTCATCACCAGTACTACCAGCCTCTCAACCAGGTCGGAATGTGAATGACCATTCAGTCCTACAAGCCTCGGTTGAAGTGCCATCAGTTCCTCCGCAAGGTCCTAGAACCAGCAAAATCTCGCTCCGGCGAGCCTCAGTCAAAGTCCCACCAGCCTCTCCGACCTCCCCAAAACGTCGTAGCCCTGACAAAATCCCGATCCTTCAAGCTTCCGTCGAAGTACAACCAGTCTCCCCGACTTTCCTACCAGGTCGTAGCATAGACATCCAGCCCTGCGCAACACCCACAAACTCGCGATCCGATGCGCCTCCAGGCGGAAGCATCAGCGCGACATCTAGCGGCGTGCTCCGCGAACTGTGTTTGCAGAACCTCCCACCGGAGATCGTATCGATTATCCTGGGCTTCGTGAGCGAGGACGAGCTTTGGCGGGTGCGGAACCTGTGCCACGCCTTCAAGGCGGTCTACGAGTCCTCGGTGCGGTTGAAGCTGCTCCGACTTCTACCGCATATCAAGTCGCTCATCACGGCGCAGATGGAGACGGTCGAAAACTCGATGTTCTCGCAAGAGCAGTTGCGGCTGAGCCAAGCGCGGAAGATGCTTCTGCTTAAGTATACCTATCGGGAGGCGCTCATGTTCACGGCGATGGTCTGGCGGCAGTCCTTCGACCCGGGCGCCTGGAGTGCCGTTTGCCACTCGGCCTCCCGTGTTTTGCGGGAGTTCTACTCGCTCGCTGACGGGGCCGCCACCTGGGCGAGGATCCTCGACTTCTCGTCCTTCTACCACCGCCTCCAGGCTTGGTACGCCTTTCAGAACACCTACACGGCGCAGATCGAACCACTACTCGCTGAGGATCCCAATGCCGAGACCGTTCCGTTTTCTGTCCAGGTCAAGTACTTGTTTCAGTCTTAATCACTAGCTTGACAACTGATTTATTCATACATCGAAGCAAAAAGACAGCCACTACTACTCTACCGTGCTAAGGTAAAACGTCGTATGAACATTCGAGAGTTGGCATTTTTCTTCCTAAAAAATCTTTATTTTGGGAGGGAATCATGAATATTTTTCCTTGAAATCCTCAGACTTTTTAGATCAAATTACGAACGGAACCCTTCTGAAAAATCAGAAGAGAAATATTCACAATTACCTGAAAATTATTATTTCGTCGAAGGAAAGGCAACGCCCGATGGTTCATACGGCGTTCTTCCTTAGCACGGCAGTGCTCAAGTTACATTTTGCGACAAAATTTTCTTGGAACGAAGATGCGATTTTTATTCCGAAACATCAAAATGTTGCGGTATCTAGAAATTAGGATCAGCCAAGATTTTGATTTTTTTCGGATTTAGGTCGCCGTACCTACATAGTAGGACATAGTATAGACTCAGCCCCCCCCCCCCAACCGTTTTTGGGTGCATTTTGTCGGATTTTTTTTTCTCTTCAAGACCACTGTGTGGAAAAAATGGGGTGTGATTTTGAAAAATGACAAAAAACAATGTAACAGTGGGCGTGATTCCCTTTGGGGAAATGGAAAAGCGGGATTTTACATTCTACCAATCGGAACAAAGCGCCAACTGTATGCGGCACTTGTGAGCCATGGGCATGGCAAATGAGCGTTGTGGACAGGGCTCATGAGTTGAAGCGGAGAACGGGCAACCGTGGCGACGGCTTCGTCGCCGCTAGCGTCACTGGTGCTTTATAATTCCCGTTCATTCCTACAACGCTCGACTGACGAGCGCATCCCTTCTTTCCTACCTGTCGCTGGTTCCGAAAAAATAAAATATGAGCCGAGATCTCGAAACTCCGCAATGAAGATACGTGGTTTCCGAGCAGAGACAAGGGACCCTCCACTCGTATCTCGGTCATGGTGGAAGCTTTTACTTTCGGGTCTTCAACATTAAACTGTTGACTTGCGGTTTATGTTTAACAACGTGTTGTCAGTTTCGTTTTGCAAACAAGCCGAAGTTTGGCAAACTTGTTTGGCTCATGACATCACCCGAAGCTCATCATCCACCATGTAGGTAGGTCAACAGCCGAAAAAAGAGTGATGACTGTGGCTCCCTTATAACTGTCCATAAAGAAGTGTTGAATCCCCGAAGGTAAAAGCTTCCACCTGTCGCCAAGAGGCCAGTGGAGGGTCTCTTGTCTCTGTTCCGTGCGTAGCCCTTTGAACTTACCTTCCTGCAACCCGTCCAGGTGGTGGACGTGCTGGAGTGCGCCCTGTTCTCCAACTGGGAGTCCTCGATCGAGCTGAGCCCGAGCCCCCGTCGGACCCGGAAGACTTCGGCGACCCCGTCGGAGCCCCGTTTCGACGTGGAGTACTGGATGCGGATGCGCGGGGAGGAGTCGCGGCGCGGCGGGTGCCGCGGCTCGGCCATGCTCGCCCTGACGGCGTTCCTGGACCGGGCCGACGGGACGCGCCCCTCCCAGCGCGCCGCCCTCCTCCGCTTCCTCCGCCGCGCCGTCGCCGACAACACCCTCGCCGAGTTCAACCGCATCCTCGACGAGCTCGAGCCCCTCGAGGTCAACGTCGCCAGGTCCCACAGCTTCGCCATCCCCGACCAGATGGTCGCAGAGATGAGCCGCGTCTACGCCAAGGTCTTTCAGGTACCCCGACAAAATTCTCCGAAAAATCCGAAGAAAAATATTTTAAAAATTGTTTTAAGAATGTACGGTTCGTCAAAGGAAATTTGGCAACTTCATAAAATTTTTAGTTGCCGAGAGGCTTTCATAAATTTTTATCGAATTTTTAGGGGCTGTGTGTGTAGTGTGTATGCAATCCGGTAAATGACTCGGGCCTTACAAATGGACTACAATTTGCAGAATTTGGGACTAAAATTTCTGGCTCAGTTTGGGAACAACGTAGATACCATCAGTTTCCCTATGCACATGAGTATTTTCACGGAAGAAAAATATTTAAACATTTTTTTTAATAATGTACGGCTCGTCAAAGGAGATTTGGCAACTTCATAAAATTTTTAGTTGCCGAGAAGCTTTCATAAATTTTCATCGAATTTTTAGGGGCTGTGTATGCAATCCGGAAAAAATGACTTGGGCTTTATAAATGGACTGCAATTTGCAGAATTTGGGACTAAAATTTCTGGCTCAGTTTGGGAACAACGTACATACCATCAGTTTCCCTATGCACATGAATATTTTTACGGAACATAATATTGTAGTTCCCATTTACAAAATGTAGCCCGATGTCGACTTGTGATACCTTTTTTTCTTCTTTATAAAAAATTACGAAATCGAGCTCTGATTTAATTAAAACAGTTTCATCACCTACCTTTCATGGAACCATATTTCTGATATTTCATAGAACTTAAGCGAATTTTATTTAGAGGTTCGGTACTACTTTCGTGCCCGTACTTCCGAGCTGCCGCGCTCTATTTGACTTCGGAACTTCCGATTCGGTGACTGACGAATCGCAACGCGATTCGTCAGTCACGTCAATCACGCGCATCGCGTGATTTTGTTACCGCCTCGTGAGGTGGTTCTAAAAGAGGTTCGACCTATCGAAAACCAATGGATCTGTTGGTCAACCGGTGTTGGTGATTGATGAGACAAACCGAGACAGAACTGTCCAAAAAGGTTCGAAACTTTAAATAAAATTCGCTTCTTGATGAAATGTTACATCCCTGCCCATAGCCCTGGATAGACTATCAAATTCCGAACCTATTCCGATCAAAGTAGACGTGCTGATGACTGATGGTCGCCATCTACCATCAAATTTTGACTGGCCGCACTATTTTGTTCAAAGTAAGATCAGAATAGAGTGCCACCATTCATCATTTCCTGTCTCAGGAAATATTTCTGCCAAGTTTTCATTTTAAAATTAAGCAAATTAATGAGTTTAAGACTGATGACTCCCGACACTTTGATGGTAATTTTTTCGGGAATTTGATCGTCTATCGAGATCTCATTGGAAATTTTTGCAGGAGTACCCGCAACCGTGGCCCTCGCTGCGGCGAAGCGAGATGGAGCCGGGCTACCGGCTGACGCGCCACGCGGACTACGACATGACGCAGTCGCAGACCCAAGTGCGGCTCAGCGTGAGGGGCGTCCCGCAGCACCTGCTCCCGCTCAGCTGGACGCAGGAGTCGCTAAGAGGTGCGGTGCGCCTGGCGCCCCCTCGGCGCCCACCCCAGGCGCCCGCCCGGCCGGCCCGCATCGAGACCCCGCGGCGCCCCCGCAAGGGGCCCAGCAACGTCCTCACCATCGAGACGACCCGCCAAGAGCGACGCGACCGATTCCTCAAGAGCTCTATCACCGTTCGCGGTCTCGACCAGGATCTTAAAATCACTAGGAGAACCAAGTGCTTCAAGCTACTTTGACACCCGTAACATCGGTGAATGGGTTATTGCGTCCGTTGTGATTGAAGGCGCCCCACTTGGGTCTATCTCTCGTGAAATGGTGTTTGGTTGGAGACCGTTCGCGGTCTCGACCAAGAACTTAAAATCACCAGGAGAACCAAGTGCTTCAAGCTACTTGGACACCCGTAACATTGGTGAATGAATGATTGCATCCGTTGTGATTGAAGGCGTTCTACTCAAGTCTATCTCTCGTGGAATGAAACGGCTGGTTGATGATATTTTGGAACAGATCTTTGAATCACCAAAAGAGCTCAATACTGCAAGCTGTTCTGCCCGAGCCCCATGAGCGCTATCGGTGAATTGGTGTTGCATCTGTCATGATTGAAGGCGCTCTACTCAAGTCTCTCGTGGAATGACACGGCTGGTTGATGGCATTTTGGACCGTCCTTTGAATGCTATCCAATCATTCAAGTTATTCTGCCTCAGCCCCATGTGCATCATCAGTAAATTGGTATTGCACTCACCATGATATCTCGTTTATGAATTGACACGACTGGTTGATGACACCTCTGATGATTCTTGGAATCACAATATTAAGGAATGACCAGGTGTCTCAGGCAAGTCTACCTCAGTCTCACACGCATATTGATCAGTGCATTGTTCTTGCAACCGTCGTGATGATAGTAATAATAAAACAAATACCTAGGTAGATAGCCACTCACTTTAAAAAAAGATTTTGGAATCATTAGGAAGAATATGTTAAAATATTAGTTGACTGAGCGTTTTATCGTGTATAATTGCGAAGGCTCATAATCAGTGTAGGTAACCTTTGTTTTTTTTTCATTTTGCTACAGGTGTTGCAAGATGCACGACTGGTGTTACAGTGCTGCTGACTGTCCCATGTTTCTTGAGTATTTTATACCATATGTATGGACTTGTTATCGACGCCGCCCCCTCTGTGGTAAGCTAACAGCTTGATATTGATGGAAAATCTTTTTTCATAGCGTCCCCTATGCGACCATAACGCTAGTCTGCAATCTAAAAAAAATCTCATGACAGAGTGGCAATGAAAAATGTCGTTTTTGACATTTTGAGTCAATAGTATATGATCAGCAAATCTTCCTATCAATACATTAACAGTACTTACTTATGTACAAATACGCTTTTAGTTTCTGAGCCATTTCCACCAAAATTGTGAGAAGTGACGTTGTTTCTTCGGTAGCTATTAGGTATTGGAAAATTTTCTGGAAGGTTACAATCCGTAACTTTGTGTGAAATTTTTCAATCAGAATGATTGATGCAGATAAAGTCATGGCAAACTTAAATTGATCCAAAATTTTGAGAGATAAGTACTTACCTATGCAAAATCTATCAGAGCTTCTTAAATGCAGAGACATTTGCAAATAGCAACAAAGCAGTTAGAAGTAGCAGTAAAAAACCTTTTGATAAAATGCCTGAAGATAAAATTTCAACTTTAACCCTGCATATCTTCCAAACTTTTTTCTCTCTTTTTTTTTCTTTTTTTTAAATGCAGTGATAGTATTAATTTTACATAATTATTACACATTTAATAAAATCTCATTCAAGCGTGTATTTCAGGAAGAAGGGTGCAAAAACTTCTCAACACTGGACCAGCAAATTGTGTATAAAATTATGAAAGCTGATTCGTGTGTGTGTGAAAGTACAACGTCATGCAAACTCGCAAAAAATTTTAAGAGGAGACTACAATATAGAAGGACGAAAAGAGTAGAATTTTTAAAAATTATGGAGGGGTCTTGGGAGTCAGAGAAGAGATTGCTAAAGAAGGGGACACTGAGAACTTTCTGCGCCCTGATCAGGGCCGGATTTACCTACTTGCCGTCCGCTTCTCACTCGTTTTGAAACATCATTAAAAACCATCAAGTGAGCATGCCGAAGAAAGGAGTGCATAAGACGCGTTAACTCATGTTGGACACATTTTTTGCGAAAGCCCTGTCAACACTACTGGCAGAAGTTCACGGAACTTTGGGCGAAAGTTAAGTTCCGTAAACCCATCTCTGTGTGGACAAGGCCTTCCATTTATAAGAAATGTACGAAACAATGTAAAAGAACAAACAAAAATGTTGTTTAATAATTCTATAATTTCCGCCGCCGCGCCGCACTGACTGCACTGTGTTAGGCGCAATGCGTGAAGTATTCCTACAGTCTTGTAGGCGCTGTGCGTTTTACGCCGACCGCTGCTTACCGCACTGTGTTTGACGCAATGCGTGAAGTATTCATGCGGTCTTGAAGGCGCTATTAGGTGTTTCATGCCGACCGCCGCGCCAAGGGTTTCTCCATTTCATATTAAGTCCTCGTCATCAGTGCTCTCAGCGCTGCGCCGCGCCAGGCAAAATTGCGTGTTTGGTTTCTCTTTTAACTCAACTAATTAAAGGTGATGTCTCTAGTATCTTGTATCGCCGAATTACGACAAAATTAGAAATTACTATACTCTCAGGAAATGAGAGGTTTTGTCGCCTTTTCTCGTTTGTAATTTTTTTCTGAATCTGATTTCTTTATACCTACATTTAAAAAAATTACAAAATTTGCCGCCATGGGCCGCGGCCTATGTAGCCACCCCCTAAATCCGGCCCTGATAAAAAACAGTTTTTTCCTTAGCTAATCGAATTTATCAGTTATGACAAAAAAAAGTTGTAAATAACAGTGGGAAGTCACTTTGGATGAATAAATATTTGAATAAAAATATTCGTGGGTAAAGGAGGATGTTCAAATTCATGTTTTATTCAAAATAATTTTAGAGACTTCTAAAGAAAGTCTGTGGGAAAAAATCCTTAAAATTGGCCAAAGCATGTTTAGTGTAAGTGTATTGAACAAACAGGTTTTACAATGATAATCTTTGTCTGGAAATGAACAGTAATTATTTGCAATAATAGTATCCATACAAGATGGATTTAGTTCAAGTCACCATGCACCTATGCTTGTAAAAAAGAAACTGAATCTGAGACTTGCGCATCACAATTCGCGTAATGAGATGGATGGCCAAAGTGTTAAAATACAATTATTCTCTAAATTAATTATTTCTTGATAAGTACACAGTGATGTCGGCGAAAAAAATCCAGGCTCCCCCCCCCCCCCTGAATGAAGAGGCTGAATTTCCTACTTGTGTCACTTGCTGACCCAGCTATTTAATTTTGAAATCTATTGAGAAAACAAGGAAATAACTAAAGAAGAGTAGGAAAAAACCTACTTTGGATATCACAAAGACTTGCTCCTATTATTAAAGAAAAGTTTATACATATTTTTTCACCTTAAATTAAATCACCATTTTTACAAGTTTATTTTGATAAATTGGGAAATTGATGAAATAGATATTGACAATGTTGTTTCTGCGCAGCATATGGGCGGCATTCGTGTAATCAGCGGCTGTGTGAGTGCGATCGAAAACTGGCTGAGTGTCTACGAAGGTACCCATGTCCACGTCGTAAGGCTGTCTGCACCTCCTCTCCTTGGAGGCTTTTCCAGAACTTACTCATGCTCTGATTTTTCTTCTCAATCTGAAATCATAAAAGGTAATGCAAAATTAATTTATAATAATGTATGGACATTAACAAGTATGGAAGGTATGAAAAACATGTGATTTTTCATCAACCCATCGGTTAATTTTGAAACTTAGTGATGTAAAATTTTCCTCTTTCAAAGCTGATTTGGGTTAATTTTCCTGTATTCCAAGAAAAAAAATAGGTAAACTCTCTTGAATTCACCCTCATCAATGCTATCTAGTATATTTTTTTTTACATATATTGGATGCTCTGTTGCAGAAAATTTAAACAGATTATGTTGCAGAACATTCACTCACATGACTCAAAGTAAGAAGCACAGAAGAGACATTGATAGTCTCTTGTGAACTTTCTGCAGAAAGCATCTGATTAGAATTGCAATTTTCTTTTCTTGTGACCAAATATCAAACAGCTAAAAAGACAATGTGTTCCAATGTATGTACATTGTTAGTGTTACACATTGTTTTTCCAAAGGAAATTCAACACACACAATGAGTTGAATACCTACTAAAATTCAAGTTTTGAAAACAAGCCCTAAGTAGCATGTTACAGGACTTGAAAAAAAGATTGTTGCAATGTATGAGTTAGGAAACTCTCCTAACATTCCTCTATCTTCTCGCCTCCTCCTTTTTGTTCTTCTTGAAATAAAAGTTTTGAGAAATTTAAATTTTAAAAAGAGGTACCTAATGAGAAAAAAAATTGCATCATACCTAATTTTGTTTCAACTCTAAAAGTCATTCATATTTATTAATGTGTGAGCACAAAATAAACTACAAAGTATGCATCACCAAAAACGAATTATGTATGTGAAATTTTTTTTTTAAAATTTACTTATGGAAAAAACTTAAAAAAGTGCAATGTGGCATCTGTACATAAAAGTAACAAAAATGGTTTCCTAAATCAGATATTTAAACAGTCTTTCAAGAGTTTGTCAAAATTTTATTAACAGTCAATGCTACTAAGCAATCATTTTGAGTTTGTAAAATTGGAACTGAGTTAGAAGATGAAAAAAAAAGTTAGCGAATAATGATGTTCTTATTTTTTTGTTTCAGGAGTGATGAAAAATTCTAGTCAAACACTAACACCATTGCAGATGCCAATAGCACCAGCTGATCAGCCGACCAGTTGAATCAACATGTGGCAAATGATAACTCAAAGACAGCCTTGCTCTTTGAATGCAGTCTATTCTTACCTCTTATTTCTGTGTGAAAATGGCCAGGGACCACAAAATTAAGGGACTAATTTGCTACGTCATTCGATAATGTTGCCATTAAATTGTACCGCCCTTATAAAGCACGGCAACGCAATTGATATCAAAACAGTCCATTTGCTCTGGGTGAAACCATCAAATGTACCAAATATCAAGTGACGTGGTCACTAAATCAGTCTTCTTTAGATGTGTTGGCAACAGAGATGAAAAATTTCATGCAGCTTTATAAAATGAAATTTCATGAAATTTTTTAAAACTTTTACGATGGATTTAGTATGCCATGAAACGCATTCTTAGGAATGGTAAAATCTTGATGTTGAAATTTTGGAAAAAGAGGAGTAGGTGTCATGCGTCAAATTTTGAAGTTTTTAATCAAGTTCTCTGCTAATTTTTGCGGGTGGTAGAATGGTCCTACCTATGCAGCCCCCATGAAATTTCATGAATTTTCATTTTGCATCTCTGATCAGCAAGCTTGCCTTGTAGTCAATCGCAATAGATCAACTTCAAATTGAGGAGGATCCTAGCAAAATTCAATGATGAAAATCAAAATACCTATTCATGAAGAGAAAACAAATCTATAAGAATCAAACGTTGAACCTAACATTTTTGTTCAAAAATGAAGGGAAACTTGTATTATGATGAAATGATAATACAGTTTAGTTTGTATGTATAAATTAGTTACCATTTACTGTACATAGATTTATTGTTACCACTTGTCACCACTGTTTGTTACCACTTCCAGTGCAATGCAATACATAATGTACCTACTTACTACCAATTAAAATTAAGTATGAAGTTGTGTTACAAATACATGTCAAGAATCAATTTGCAACTTTCTAATTTGAGTTATTGAAATATAATAATAATTAAAATGATTTTGTCTTCATTACCTGCCTATCGTCAATAACCCATTACCCAAGTAGCACAGTGCAATGAAAATATCGATGGTGAAAATGCAGAAGTGCGTATCTCGGAAAACACGATTTTCCAGGAGAGTAAAAAAATTGTCTACATTCCTCTTTAAATGTTGGTAGAAGGGTAATAATTCTTGAGGATAGCAAGAATAAGATGCTTTTTCAGACTCCATCAGCATTTTGAATAATTTCTCAAACATTTATAGAATACAGCAGAAATGATGAGATTCGCATTTCGGGCACACAGAATTGACTCTTCATCAAGAGATACGCATTTTTGCAATTAGTGTTTCAAACCTGTTATTGGCGGATTTGGATCATTTGAAGACTGAAAAAAGAATTTCGCGTTTACAATTCCTTCTCAGATAAGCTTTAGTGTGATCTCATATGGCCAGATCAAGCATTAGGTGATTGGAAAATGACATTTGATCACAAAATACGCATTTCTTCAATTAGTGTTTTGAACCTGCTCTTGATCATTAAGATAAAAAATAGAGTTTATTCATACTTAAAACTTGTTTAGAACCTTTAGTTGATCCAATATGATGAGATACCGACATACGAATCAGAGCATTGGGTAACTTTTACACCACAGGTACCTAAGAAGACAGTACATAGTCTCTAGAATATATTGTCTCTGCCTGGATCATCAAAAAAGTATAGAGGTAATACTTTTTTTTCTATTTTTCCCCCAACACTTTGACATATACACCATTGGGAACACACAGCCATCTAGTGCCCGTAGGAACCCGGAGGACATCTATGCTCCATCCATCCACGCTCTACTCCTTTCAAATGGACTAGTGAACAAAGAACCTCTTTTTCAATTCTGATTATTCACAGGACATCGTAGAAAGCACACTTTATCTGTGCGAAACTTATTGAATTCACAACCGCTTTTGAGTAAGTTGCGATCTTGTAAAAGGCGACTCTCTCAGTTTTACATGAGAATACAATGACCACAATCTGAACCGAGCATGTGGACTCTCTTCTTTGAAATAAGACTTCCAAACAAAAAAAAATCTTGGAACGTAAAATAATGATTTTTGGGCACTTTTCAAACCTACAGCTTTATCCAAGACTTCAAACAACGGAACATTTCTGGTCCACATCATTGCACAGGGCCACTCAAATACGATACAGAAGAGCGCCTTCAACCCAGTGCGTAATCTTAGTGCGAAATTCTGATACCACTATCCAAGACAATCATTTTGCACAGCCAGCTAATTGAAGACGAATCATTCGGTCAGCCTGGGCAACGGGGTATAAAATTCGGCAGAGTGATACGTAATTTTAGGGAACAAAACCTACGGGGGTGTCTCACACAAAAGGTGCTGCACAGTTGAGGTGAGCATTGAACCACCATGACAGTCACCAGGCAAAAAGCGTCGTCTCAATAGAGGTTCAAGAACAACTGTCAAACTCCAGCCTCCTGTGATGTAGTGGCTATAGCGCTCGCTCTATGATTGGGAGGTCTCGGGTGCGATCCCCGGGCGGGTGACCTGGTCTTAAACATTGGTTACCTGAGGCTGGCTTAGTTAGGGACTGAGGGGGAATGGGACTTAGTGACTGTAAGCGTGAGATTATCCCCTTAGGGATATTTGGAGTGAAAAAAAAACCCGCGACGCTCTCACCAGGTTATTTCTTATGAGGCACGATGTCTATCATGAACGCCTATCAGATATCAAGAGATAGCAAGTAGGTGCTGAGGAATACTTACTGATAACATCAAGATTGTATGCTTCTATTAGTGTTCTTCACACTCTGACGAATTTCCTTCACTGCGTGTGCCAATCCCTCTGGATTTGCACCATTTTCGCACAGTTTAACGCAACAGACTAAACTTTCCTTATCCAAATTGGTTTTGAGCAGCCGAGAGATCTCATAGAGAACATTTATTATTTCTTTGTCATCAGATAACTTCGTGACATTCTCTTTCATGTCAGACATGGTTGGATGAAATTAAATACGATTAACCTTTATAAAAATGAGGATCACAATCTTTCAACGACACAGTGTTAAACTTTAGGGTGGGTAAGTACAACTTCACTTGGGACGATAATGGACAAAATGGAGTTTAAGAGAAAATTGTGAATACGTGGACAGTGAGGAGAATTAATTCTAGCGCAGAAAATTCGCGGCTTTGACTGCTAGAAACTGGAAATTACATTGCAGCGTGAGAAAAGCTGAAAAACACTGAATTTGAACAATGTAAACAAACAAAGCAGATTTCTGATAAGAAAGCAGGTAAGCCAAGGTCACAAGCACGAAAGCTTACTGCTGGTTTGTAATGTTTACTTGATTTCATGCAATTTCATGTTTTCATCATTCAAAATCTTACGATTTGATTTATTTATGGTCGTGCATTTATAACACGCTTATATTAAAGCCTCATTCTCAAGCACGTCACTTCCGTAGTTTTAATGGATTTACATTTTAACTTTTTTTCACAAGACACAAAACAGGGGAATTTTTCAGTATATGGTAATTTGAATCAGCTGTTTAGGTTATGTTCGTGTTATTGTTATTTGTTATTGTTGTAGTGCTTTTGTTACGCAATTAAAAAGTTGTGGAACACACACGATTACATGATTACATTTCTTTCTCCTCTTCAAATCTTAATTATTTCTATTTAAGACGTATTTCTTTTCTTTTTTTCTTACATCAGTCGCATCCTGCATAAGTAAGTAAATCAGTTCATTCACTCATTAGATATTACGTACATGTCTAGTCATGGTCTATTTGTCTGTTCTGACCTAAGTTCACTGCTGTGCGTTTTTTCTTTTTACAGATTGAACGCAAAAGTGCTGTAAGGTAGTAAGTAAGTACCTATACTTTTCTGAAAGCAGCTTGTCGCACCAAAGTGCGTCATTCTTTTAATTGAGGTGATTCGGTTTGAGAGCGCTTAGGTCATGTCTAGGGCCATTTAAGCATCACGCCCTCCGCAAGTCGTCATGCAGGTGTGTTTTATGCATGCACTTCAAGCATTCAACAATTTTTACAAATCAGTACCAGTACTTGGACTGTAATGAATTGATGCGCGGAGCAAATCTATCAGTGGAAGTAAACTGGCCGCCTGTCTCGAATGATGTTTCTTCAAATCAATTTTTAACAATAGAAGACTTGTTTCCCAGTTCCTGAAAACAAAAATAGCAGTCAAAGAAGGCATCAAAGGAGCAAGAAGAACTGCTCCTTGTACCTTACAAATTTCAGTGAAGTGAGATCCCTTTTTCACATGATAACATATCCACCAGAGGGTAAGATCAGATGTTGAGTCCAGATTTGTGACTTGGGAAGAGGCCAAACTTTGTGAAGGTACCCATGAGATCACAAACTGATTGGGAGAACTGTGGCCCTATAACTAAAGTGAAGAATGGACACTGAACGCTTCGTATTCGTGGAATGGATTGATTTGTTTTAAAGTCATTCTTTCAGTCACTATTTGGAGGTCTTAAACATTTTCCTTTACATGACTCTAAAGTAGCTTGCAAAGTAAGTGGGCGCGGCGAGCAGCACCAATTTAATAGAATCACAAGTGAAGCGAACGCATCAATCCCCACGATGGATTTGTAGCCTACTGCAGAAAATATAGAACACTCCACTACTAATTAATTTTGGAATAGACATTTTTTGCTAGATTGCCACATTCAGAAAATGAGCTGTTTTGACTGTCATAGATTGGATTTGTCAATCTAATATATATATAAAGTCGCTTTACAACGCACTCTGGCGTTCTACGACACCCAAACGCCACATATGCCTGTCTTCCCAGAGGTTATCGGGCAACTGACAACGCAACATCTCTTCGTCAACGCCCTGCCGCCAACCCTTTACGGGACGTCCCCGTTGCCTCTTCCCAGGTGGTACCCAATCCAAAACTTGTTTGGGCAACCTCTCCTCCGACATTCTTTGCACATGTCCATACCAGCATAACTGCCTGGACATGACGTCGTGCACGATTTGTCAATCTAATACTTGAAGAAATATTCTTAGGAATGAAAAAAGAGATTTAAGAACCTGTAGTGAGCTTATCTGATTTTCAATGAGATATTGGAATTTATTGAAAAAAACATTTAATTTGACCTCACACTTGTTGATTATCATTCCCTCATTTCGTCGCTCCTCTGACGTAAGGGCGTATCTCTATTTCCGGATGAGCCCCAGAAAGCATGGAATTATATGGAGAACATGGCTCACTTGGAAATGGAGGTATGCCTTTACGTCAGAGGAGCAACAATTGGTCATTCATTCAGAACTGGAGAAATATTAATATGGATGAATGTCCTATCAATCTGACTACTTCCATCATCAGTTAGCCCATTTGTCACCACATTAATATTTGTTGAATGGTGCTATTTTCTAATGTCACATCTGCCCATTTTTCTTGTCTCAGTTCTAGGCATTTGTTAAGCTGCTTAGTGTCATAGCCTTCAATATTGTTCAAAAACCCTCATAGTTTTACCTAAAATTTCAAAAAGTTGACCTTTCTTAGCGTCAGAGTGCCAGTAGAAATGTTACGTTCGTCATATCAAGGTCACTCATATTCTACTCAAGGTATTGAATCATTTTCATTTTTACAAGTTTGAGTAAATTGGAATCTTGTCTCAAAATCTCAGTCTTAGTTCCATGACCAAGGATTCTTTTGTTTGATGTCCTAGGTAAATTGACTTTTCGAAGATGAGTCAGAAGCGGTACGGAACTATGGACTCCCGAATGTCCTCCAGCATGGGCTCGCCTCAGCCAGGCGCAAGTGATAGACAATCTAAGGAATTGGCTGAAAGTATCACAACTAATATGTACACAATCAACAATGGCAGTCGTACTTTGGATCAGGCTCTAAAAATCATTGGAACTCCCAGGGATAATCAAGCCGTACGAGACAAATGGTAAGCAGAAATTTATGATCTGGAATACTGTTTTTGCGGTGTAGAATACCATGAAGGATTACTCTCTGAGTTGCCCCCGGAACAGAATATTTCTAATGAACCCCTCTTTCTAACGGTGTGAACTTCCACCTTTGATTTTTTGTCAAGAAAGTGGCATAATAGCTTTCAATATTTCCAACAAAAAGAAAATGAGGGAAAGAAAGTACATCAGAGTTTGAGAGGTCAACCACACAAAATAAGAGCATTTAGTCTGTGGGGAAGCGAAGAGGTTAAAATTCATTGACATGAAAAATCAACAAGCCAGCTCCAATAACTTAAGAATCTCAAAGCAAGTCATCTTTAACGCCAACCAATCTTAGGAAGATTTGCTTCCTATTTATGCTTTGGACATATTTTATTAACTTCAAGAATTTCTTTTTCAAAATCAGAATCTGGTGTTTTAAGACTTGACTTAAGCATAGCAGCTATTGAAACACCAAGTTCTTTCCATTCAGGAGTGAAGAAAGTATAGAACGGCTCCTTGAACTGTGGTGCAAGGGACAGTTTTAAGGGTCTAAAGTCGAAAATCAAAGGAAAGTAGAAGAATATCCTCTTTTCTGAATTTGGAGGAAACTTTGTGGAAAGCCAATGAGATTGAAGATGTGGAAAGCCGGCAGGTAGATACATAAAAATGTTGAAGCTTCGAAGATTCTGCACTCCTGTTTCTATTTCGCTGTCATGTTGGAAGGAAATACCTTTTGCAATTCAGTTATTATCTCAGTTCATTTGAATCAAATCATGTATTTCTCATTTTATAGGATTGAAGATTCTTTACTAATTTTCAAACTTTTCTCCCTAACTAAAGCCATTGTGCCTAATGATTTTGCAGGCATGTTACTCAGATGAGTGTAAATCAAATTATCGCCCAAATGTCAAAGGATCTCCAGAAATTCTCAGCTCTTTCCCGATCAGGTGATAAAGCTCAAAAGTTACAAAGTGAGAAGCTCGTCAACAATTTCAAGGAAACAGTCCAAACCTACAGTGACCTTCAGAATGTAAGTTTGCATTGCTACAAAATTAACCTAACGTTAAATACAGCACCTAAATTACGCTAGTCTGCAGGCAACATACCAACTTGTGAAAGGAAATCCAGTAGAGTTCCATTAACGGATCGTCATGCTGCCTTAGGTCACCAACTTTTGCACCTTAAATGCCAAATGCCACACTGTTTTTTTTAAAAACACTAAAATGTTACCTTGCCTACTTCCTAAAAGTTTCTAGTTTTGTAAAGCCGCTATAAATGTGAAAATGAGTAGTTTTTCTGAGCCATTTTGTGCCTAAAAATATTTTTGGTCGTAATGGTTTCTTTGATTTTTCTCCTACTAATTTTCAAGACATTTTTACCTCTTGTTACCAGTCTTAAGCTGTTGCTTTTGTGCCTTTTGAAAAACTCGAAACTAGGATGTCAATAGCCAAAGTGTGAAACCATGTAGGTACCTCTGTTTGCAATGTTGGAGACTTGCTTTCACACACTGTTTCAAAAATTGGTCAACGTAATTTCTTGAAAATTACCTTGATTTTCCCTCTCTGTTAGGAGAACATATATTCTGCAAGAATTCCAAGCTATGAAGTTGGCTGTCTTTCTTCGAAAAAAATATAATAAGAGCGCAGATTTGAAACATTATGATGGAGGTATATAGTTACACACTTTTGCTTCGACATGTATTTTTGCAGTGCTTAATGACTTTCAGTTGACATCCTGCGTCAAACACTAAGAAATCGAGCATAAGTAATTTTTCGAACATATATTGGTCAATTTCAATGTCTAATTTAGCCTACATTGATAATGGTTTTTTCATGAACAGGAAGTTTGAATATGATGTTCATCATATGACCTGGGATGTTTAGTTCTTCTTTTATGAGTTTCTTTTGGAAGTTTTTGATATGCTCAACAAGTTGTATGTGAAATTTTGATGAAAAATCGTGTGCTGAAGTGCTTAATAATTTATCAACTTGTCAAGTAGGCCACTATAAATGGTAAATGTCTACCCTCATATCAGGTCTCGGTAAATATCCTCATTGTCCATTTTGAACTATTCAACATACACACATACATAAAGCCGCTTTTATAGCGCAGCCTCCCGCTCTGCGACGCCCAATCGCCATTGCCCCCTATTGAACCCCCCCTGAACTATTCAAACTACTCTCTCAAATTTCATTTTTCTGATTTTGTTATGAATGATTGCAGCAAGTAGCACAAAAGATGAAATCAAACCCACTTCCAACTGTGCTAACGATGGAAGAAGAGAATAAATTAAACTTTGAAGCTGTAGAAAGCGATCAACGGCAGCTGATAGCTCAGAAACAACTGCAGAATGAACTCGAATTCGAACAGAGTCTACTATTGGAGCGTGAAACACGAATGAGGCAGATTGAAGGGGATATAATCGATGTCAACGTAATTATGCGTGAACTAGGGGCCATTACACGTCAGCAAAATGAAAATATAAGTAAGTGTTGTATAACGTGTAAATTTTATCATCTGTTTAAATATTCTTTAAGACGGGTTTTCCTCCAATATTTACCAGAGAAGAATTGCTACTTCGCAATCTCCGCTGCTTGTCTCTCCTGTGTGAGCTGACAGAGCTGTTTTTTTAGAGTTGCGCTTAATCCACCAACACTGAGACTGCATCACCACCACTTTGGGAACGATAGTGATGAATATTGCATTTCAAAAGTGTTTTAGATATCTTTGCAGAAATCAGCATTATTTCCTCAAGGAGAGGATTGTTTGAAAGGTTTTAATAAGCTCAATGTCTTTTTGTGATCATAATGAAAGGAAAGAAATGTTAGTTGGTTGATTCAAATGAGAGACAGAAGATTCCGATTTCCTGTTTGCTTAGATAATATTTATGCTTTAATGTTAGGTACTTTGTCTCTCTTTTATTATTGTAATGTTACTTTGCATCTTAACACCTTTATTAATTTATTCCATGTAGGTAGATAGATACAAGGCACAAGTTCTCGTAATAGGCAAGATATTTTTCAATATTTGTTTGAAAAAAAAAAGTTAATCTCCTTTAGACTAAACTGGCTCTTTCATCATTTTCAAAATAATAAACACTTTTTCAGAGATAAGTTCCCTCTGGAAAACCGACTTCAAATTCACAGTCTGAAGTAGCAAGAATGACAAATACATATCATTAACTACTTACTCGGCTCATTTTAGTGATATGCTCTAATTTCTTTCTTTTTTTCCCCCTCTTCCTTTATGCAGACTCAATTGAAGGTGCTGTAGAATCTATCTATGACAACATTGAAAGGGGCACAGAGGAATTGAGGAAAGGTGCTGAGTATCAGGTAATAATCATGAATCATATTTTATCATCGCTCATAAAAAACAATAAGTGCCCATCACTTGTCCTTTTTTTACTCACTTTAAAGCTTAACTTGTAATTAAGGATCTCTTTGAAGAAAAGGCACATACTTAGCTAAAAATCTTGCTCTAAAAAAAGTGCGTTTTAACTTTTTCTGCTTAGATTTTGACCATAGTAATTGACCATTCCAAAGAACTCATTGCTCTTATCAGAGCTTATACATTTTAAAATGAATAAGCGATCACCCATGATACTTACGGCAAGCGGTGGCTACTTACGGTGGTTTCCTCAAATAAAAAGTGATATGAAAATAAGTCAATAATTGAATCGGAATGTGCAAAAACCGCTAATGTCCATTTTTCCAGTTGTAAGTTTTTTTGACTTCATAATACTTTTAAAGAGTTGATACAACCATGAAAGTGATGAAAGGACTTGTTTTATGATTAAGGAAACCCAAAGACGAGTCTAAACGTCAAATTCGTGGTTGCAACCAACTCTGAAAAAAATAATGAACTCAAAAAAACTTAAGATGGGAAAACTGGACGTTAGCGGTTCTTGCACGTCCCAATTCAATTACCACTGTGTGTGATGAAAGGACTTTCAAGGCTTTTTGATGATAGTGTGTGTACTCAAAGGCATGTCAAGTTGAAGTCTGCAGCCTGTCAAACTCTAGAGCGTACCGATGAAACACAACCCAGAATGTTCATTATCCCTCAAACGATATTAAACACAATTTGAGAATGGCACCCGAATTTTCTTTAATGCACCAAAATCTTCTGTAGCGACTCTTGGAATTAAAAGGCAAATTGAACCCTATCAGAATCGCAATGGGGATAGATTCAGTCATACTACTTTGATTTTTATTTTCTCAGGAAGCTTTTGCTCTTTGTAAGACTCAGCTTGTCTAATATTTTGCAGGTCAATGCATCAATGAAATTTTTGACTTGGTTTTCGCTTTTTCAGGTGCGACGGCGCAAAAAAAACTGTTGTTTGTTGACAGTTGTAGCGACGACTTTCGTAGTTCTTATCATAATTTTCTGGCAATTTTCTAGGTGATCATTCATGACCTTTCTCTAGCCTGCTTCATGTCTACCCTTGAAAATTCCATTACCTTGTTTTTTATTGTGTATATTTGATTATTTTGCATTATCTCTACCTAGTTTAAGTATTTTTTAACCTTGTATCATTGTTTGTTAGGGAAAGACTCGAAATTTATCCAAAGCCTTTATCCCGTGCTTCATTCCTAAATCGCTAGGCACCTTGCTCCTGTTATGTACCTTCATTTATACTTTTTTTTTCCGCAAAGTTACTGGACTAAAAATGTTTTTACTTAATATATCGAAATTAGAAACATTAATGTCATGAGTCTGTACATCTTGATTTTAAAAATAAAGTTGCATTTGGAAATCGTGTCACTCGAAAAGGTGAACATGAATTTAAACATTTTTTACAAGCTAAAACTTTCTTTGTTAACAAGTTCATTGCCACGAGTTTTGCCCTTATCTCTGCTAGCAGTCGGAGAATTCTCTCTGAAGCTAGTGCCTAAAGCAGTATAAAAATCCTCATCAATGGTTCTTCTAGCATAGGTGATGCAATCTTCAAGGTGTATTCGTGTAAAAGAGGTCGTTCAAAAAATTATCATTTTAGTTCTCCCTTTGTTTTGGACTAAACTTCGCTCAAATGTTATGTAAGTGTCCCTGAAGCCTGGGCGAAATTTCAAACCCCTCGGATAATGAAGGCCAAGAGCAGGAGGATAAAGTTGTAATTTGTACAAAACTTTGAATTTGATGTCTTTTGCACTGTGTAAGTGCAAGTACTGAAGTTTGCGTTAAAAAACTTAAACATGTGTTCTCTACGAGAATATCTATGCTGTTTTGATGGCTACATAATTTATCAGGATTTCATACTTAATCTAATTTTTTCGATTATTATGGTTTGATTTTATCCATTTTTCACATCTTACCGAGGTGATCCACTTTGCAAAAGCAACAATGATTGCATCAGCATAACATGCAGAGGGTGGAGAAAAGTCAAGATTAAAAAAATCAAATTACAACAAAGGCAAATCAGGAAACAATCTGAGCAGCTGGATATTCTTATGGTGAATATTTTCCACATTTTTCAGCAAAAACTACAGCACTAACACTCACTGTTTCGGGTAAAGATATTGATTTTTAGAGTTTTGAAAAGGTGAGGGCTATGCTTCCCTTATCCCTCCCCCAAATTATCCGAGGGTGCTGAAATGTTGCCTGTACATCAAAAGGATGTAACATCTGATTGACGAACACTCAAAGCACTCAAATACGCCTCAAACTGTGTAGGATTAGTCAGTTAAATTTTTCGGGGAAATTTTTTTTCTTGTCAAAAATTGAGAAAAATCGACAGGGATTTGGTAAGTACCAAAGTACAAGAACTAAATTTTCGCTGTCAAAATTAAAAGTTCGCTCATCAGGCTTGAATGAAGCTGGTCTTCTTGAAAATGACTCGAAAAGTCCAATCTCTGGTCGAAAAAGCTCCCTGAGTCCGCAGGATTGTGCGATAACGCACTCGGGTGCGTGAACAAAGTTTGATCCAAAAACATCATTTTCATGACAATTTCTTACGTACCATCTGTTCAAAAAGAGAATTTTCTCCTCTCTAATCATCATTCCCTCTTTGAAAATGTATTTTTGGCTCTTTAGAATGCCCTTACTAAAAATCAAACCAATTTATTGAGAATCAAGACAAGATTAGGTTGGTACCTTACAGAGGAAGAATGCAGAGGAATCAAGTAAGAGTATTGGTGTGAGGGGAAAAAAATTCAACGCCGGAAATATTCCTGATACCAACATTTACTTTATTTTTTAGTTTGTTGGTACAGGGCTTTGGTAACAAAAGAAAAACAAGAAAAAAGAACAGAATAGCTAACATTAATCATTAAAAATGCACTAACTGCTTTCTCTTTGAAGTCAATATTTCCCACGTTTCACCAGGGGTTACTCTTGGTAATTAAGCTCAAATTCTAATTTACGAACTATGATCGTCTAACAGAAAATAGACCATAGATAAATTACCATTTATTAACCAAGAGCACCCCTCAATTGGAAGAATTTATGCAGAATCAGCCTAACAACATTATAATTATGTTGCCTACTTTTTTTCTAATGTTTAATTTTTCAAACGGAAAACTGTTCAAAATTTTGTGAGTGTTTTCTTTTATATAATTTCGGGGAAACCCACAGAAAGTTTCAGGGCATTATGTCGTTCATTTCTCTACCAAAAAACGAACAAACAAAAAAAAAAAAAAAACTTGAAAGGAAAATGCAGTTAAACTGATTCTGGCTGATTTTCAAAATTAACCTGATGTTTTCAAGGCTTTAAACTGAAATAATTGTGGGCATAGTTTTAAGCTCTTCTTTGACAAAAATAGGAACAAAGGTGCTCACAAGTTTTTCATTGGGATCCTAGGAAGAGCTCTATGTCAGAACTTCAAGGAATTTATCCCCCCCCCCCCCCCCCCCCCNGTTTAAAAAAATGTGTTTTTTTTTTATTTGCTCAAACTATGGTCCTTTTTTCCATGGATGTTCGCAAGTATACTAAGTTAGTTAAACACAAAAGCCCTCCTGCATTTCTGGCAAAGATCACTGTAAACAATAAAACATCACTTTTTGAGAGATAGTATGGAAAATAAAACTCTTCACTGAGGTGGAAGAACTTTCCTAAGCTTTTCATTTTAAACCAGAGGGGCAGAGGTCAGCCAACAGGTGAGCCAACTAGGAACCATCGAGATCGTGTCCTCACTGCCTCTCGACGCACGAGCCGTTTTTTGTCATCTAAACAAGGGATCAGCTCCTGCAGTACCTGAAATAAGAAGTGAATGCGAATGGTAGTTATTTGAACTCAGGCTTCGACTTGCATTAATATTAATAAAAAACTTTATCAATGGACAAAAAATAGCTGAGGAGAATTCAAAGAGTATTTACATCCAATTTAAGGATTGATAAAGAAAAAACTCTTAAGTAAGTGAAGTAAGGAGTGCATTTCAGAGGTTGCCAATGCGCTCATCATGATTTTTGAGATATTATCTATACAGAACAACTCTAATTTTTGCTCTAGCAAAATTTTGCAACAGGCCCGTCGTAAACACTGATATCTTGTTAAGGTGTTGACTTCCAGAATTACCGTAGTGTGATTCATTATCCTCATGAAGTTTTAAAAGAGAAACATGCTGATTAGTGCTTCAACTCATACCTGCTGATGATAAGTGATTATCACTTTTAAAACTGAATTTAGTTTTATTCATGTCCTCAGTCTCTGCAGGATCAAATCTGATGATAAGTTAAGCACATGGTTTACGTGAGGAAAATAAAAAACTTCCACTTCGTGGCTTATTATGGTTCTAGTCTCTAATTCTCCCCCCCCCCCCCCCNCTCTTTTGAAAACTTGTAGCAACCACTTTCTAACAAAAAAATTGAACTTAACCGGAAATGAGGAAAAAGACTCAGCACGGAAAATCAAAAAATTTGGCGCTAGCCACAAGATTATTTGATACGATATTCTTTGTGACCTCCTGAGCACCATGAGCTAGTAAAATCAAACTTTATAAATGCCAATTTTGAGAAAAAAGGAGCTGAGAAAGGAATTTCCCAACATCTTTACACTAATTATCGTGTGAAATTGGCATTATCTGATTGGTGATCCTGGAGATTTTGTATTTCTCCACTGGCCAGGAGGGTAAGACACAAGGAAGAGAATCCAATGCCTCCTTATGATAATAGCCTACGCCAGTGTCCACACACACAAAGTAACAGTACCACTCAATGCAAAAACGCAAGCAATGGTGTCGAAAAATATGCTTTTTGGCTTTGATTTTCTTGACTTTGGCACATAGAAGGTTTAACCGCAGAGGCTTAAGGGGTTGTAAGGAACATTGTATCAAATAAAAACAAAATTTAGCTGGCGCCAACTTTCTTAAGATGCTGTATAGAGTCATTTACAGATGGATATTTAATCAAATGAAAACGACAAGATAAAATGCATTAGCAAAGAGCAAAGAGAGGGGAAGCAGTATAATAAAACTTACAGATGATTTTTGAGGTAGTATTACAGACTCTTCAAATAGACTACAATCAAAAAGGCACTGAAGCGCTGCCATTCGAATTTTCTGTTGAACAAAGCAGAAAGAAAAAATTAAGGTTAAGAACTACTATAAGTTACTCGTGCAACAATTATGCGAGTTCAAAAAGTAACACAAATTAATAGGATGTTTCAAAATCTTTCATCTCCTTCCTTGATTTTTTTTTAAAGGAAACCAGCCAACATTTTCATTGAACCTTGTTGCAATTTTTCTTACGAAGCTAGGTTAAATTAATAGGGCTCAGTAAAACAGTTGCATGTAAATTGGGGTGTTTCAAAATCTTTCATTTCCTATCTTGATTTTTTTTAAAGAAAACCAGCCAACATTTCCATTGAACCTTGTTGCAATTTTTCTTACGAAGTTTAAGATATCCAAAAAGGGAAACCAAAGCTAATAGAAAACACAAAGTGAGAAGAGCAAGAAAAAACATAAGGAGTCAATCCCAAAAAAAAATTAAAAATAAAATTAAAAAAAAATAAAGAAATGAACAAAAATACTCTAACTTTTATTCTATTATAAGAGTAAAAATTAATAAATTCTTAGCAAATGCAAAATTTAATTACAAAGGCAAATGCAAAATTTATGCAAGTTTTGAAAACAGGAGATGTAAGAATAATTTATTTCTTGCACATTTCTTTTCGGATTCCCTTTTTTAGAGCTTATTATATGAACTCCAACGTAACAAATAATAAATATTGGCATACTATGATAATCCCTTTCAAACTTCATTATAAAGGTATAAATCAAATTTCTTAGATGTTAGGAGCTGAGGATAGTGGACTGTTAAAATTTAAATTCAACTAAAACAAACCATTTGAGGTGAAGATTTTGCGAGGTTAAGAAATAATGTCATGAAAGTTCCTAGATGAGGCTGGAGTAAGTTTGATTTGGCTTGAAGCAAACTGGAAATAATTTTAAGTGCAGGTAATTGTAGCTGTTCTAAAGACTCCAATCTCAAGGTCTCAATGAGCACGGGTAACACCTGTGAAAGATAAAAACTTAACAATTAAAGAAGAAAAAATATTAGATAAAGAAATTAAAATATAAGATAAAGAAATTAAAAAAAATTTAGAAAAATGATTAATGATAATTAGAAGCTGACGGACAATTAATCAATTAATGAAGGCTGTAACTTGATCAAATAAAACTTCCGACAAGCTGACAACACCTATAAATTACTTCTTCTCCATGCTTTTTTTCTCTTAAAAAAGAATTTCCTATACTATTATCCTTGCATGCAAAAAATATTAAGAAAAGTGACAATTTCATGAAATATTGGTAGAAAATTAATACCTAAATATATCTTACCTCTGATAAGTACATGTTGACAACTTGACTAGGTAT